TTCCACCACTTTCTCTTAGGTCTGGCTTTTAGAGAAAAACAGGTATAACTGTTTTCCATTCGTAATACACAGCCAAAAGGCAAAAATCTGTTGCAGGTCTCGAATCTAGTAAACAAACACTTCCATTTTGGTCCTTCAGCTGGAAAGTAATTTATATGATCTCTGAAAATGTGTTGTCTGTTTTTCATGCAAGAGACAGATTTTTGTTTTGTTGCTAACTAAACACAGAAAAAAACCACCCTTTGAAATAGTTCTCCTTCAAAAATATCCTTGAGGAAAGGGTAGAAGCTTGTGGTTTATTTTTCCCATTGCTTCAAAATGACCTTCTTACATCTGCGGGAAAGACTCTCTGGGGGCTGTTGAAGCATGAAAGCATATTCATTTAGGGCATTGGGTGCCACAGTGATTTTAACAGCGTTGGCTGCAGCACTGGAAAAAGAAAAAAGAGGGGGTTTGTGTTTTGTTGTTTTTGCTTTCTGCAACCTGGCATGAAGAATGGGGTCAGGAGATGCGTGCTTGGGAAAGACCCAAAGAGAGAGCTGGAAACAAGCCAGCCACGCTGAGTCAGAACACCCATGCTTACAAGTATCTTTGTACCTTAAAAAGTCCTGACTTTTCAAATAAAACCATCACTGCTGTTAAAGTATTTATGTAAAAACAAAACAAATAGCATGGAGTGCTGCATGCATTCTTCCTTGTTCCAGCTCTGTTTTACCCCGTGAACTGTGACTCCTGTTTGCTGAAGGCAAGGCTGGGCCAGGGTGAAGAATGCCGTGTCTGGCGATGAATGAACAGGGAAGCTCGAGTCGTGCGTACACGTATGCTGCTGCTGCTTCTCGTGGAGCGAAGCAGCGTGCGGCAGCGCCTGCTGCTTCAGGGTGACGTTTCACCTCCCCAGGAGGCGGCGTGAAGCCTGCCTCTTGCTTCTGCCGCCTTTGCTTTGCATTTTTTTTGTTTTCTTTGAGGATTTGAGTGTAACTTCAGAAATGGGAAGGCTGCGTGCAGGCCATGTGCAAGCTTGGCAGCTGAACAGCAGTGAACAAGCACCTGAGCTGTAGGTGAATGGTGAAAGGTGCAGGTGATGCACGTTTTGATTTCATTGCAAATATATACACATTATATATTGATGTGCATGATTGATAGATATCTATATATACTTATATTTCTGTATGCTTTATATAGTAAGGAAGTGGCAGAAGCCCATTGCACTTTTCTACAACCATCGCCTCTATGACCATAGAGCTGAAAGCAAGCTGCCAGCCATTTAGTGTGGAAGAGAGCTGCTCTGCTATCTGCGACGTAGCATCCTGCGCAGGAACGTACTGCGTTGGTAAAATGAGGTTGTGCTCCTCTTCCCTGTCCCCTTGAACTGAACTTGCTGAACTGTTGCTTGGCTGCCCTGGTAGCTGGAGTTCAGATATAAATGCACAATGTGTGGTTCCCTGAAATGGCATAACAAAGAAGATGGCATGATTAATTTTCTTTAGCAATTTAAAGGAATGATGCAGTTCTGTTTCTTAATTCTGCCCCAGGGTTTCCCTGGTTGTTTGCATCTGTTATGTTTTTACTGGGTTTATAAGCTAATCTTACTGTTAGGTTGGGAGGCAGAAATCATCTCGGCTGGCCTGCACAGTGAAGGCTGTGGGCTTGCCGTGATGAACCTGCAGTTTAAGACGTTATTCAGTCCTTTTTGGGGTCTAATTCAATAGTGGACAATCCATTCGTTCCCCATAAGTCGTTTCAATGGCTAATTACTTGCACAGTTGCAGAAATCGTTCTTTAATTCTGTCTTACATTTTTCTGAAATCGAGTTCCAGCTGTTGGATGATATTATACCCCTCTCTGTCAGCCTCGAGAGCCATCTATTATCAAATTTCTACTCCCTGTGGAAATATTTAAAGGCAGCAATCGAGTCAGGCCTTTTGAGGGTTGTCGTGAGGTTTTTTTGTTTGGCTTGGAGGAGTTGCATAGAATAAATTCCTCAAGGCTTTCGCTTGACGATACTTCTGAAGGGCTCTGGGTGTGTGTCTGTCGCTTTGCTGAAGCGAGGTGACTCCTGCAGTCGCTGGCAGCGGGTGTGCGGAGCGGGGCGCGCGGCGGCTCTCCCTCTGCTGGCGTGGCGAGGCGGGCACGATCTGACCCGTGTAATGATGGTTAAACGTGTCGGGAGCTGGAGCTGCGTCGCCGGCGGAGCGGCAGCTCAGCTGGGCTCCGAGTCAGCTGCTCGCCGGCTTGCGGCTGCTTTTGCGCCGCGGGCTCGGGGGAAGATGCCGTCAACGATTGCGAAACCGTTTTATTGCTCCTGCCTATGGAG